GGTCTGATCACCCCAGCAAGATAAGCATCCAAGTGTTTCTTAATGGTATCCAGAGTAGGTGCTTGCACCACTTCTGGGGAGAGTCTATTCCAGACTCTGGAGACTCAGACGGTAAAGAAGTTTTTCCTTATGTCCAGTCTAAAACAGTCTCCAGCAGTTTGTGACAGTTAGACCTGGTCTTCCCTTGGGGTGCTCTGGTGAACAGACGTTCTCCCAGTTCCTGAAGCGCACCCCTTATATGCTTATAGGCTGCCACCAAGTCAGCCCTGAGCCTTCACTTCTCCAGTCCTCTCAGCCTCTCCTCATAAGGCCTGTTCTCTTCACCTCTCATCGTGCATATGACTGTCCTTTAGACTCTCTCAAGCTTCTCCACATCCTTTCTGAAGTGTGGAGCCCAGAACTGGATGCAGTACTCCAGCTGCAGCCCCATCAAGGAGGACTAAAGTGGGAGAATGACTTCTTGGGTCTTGCTTGAGATGCATTAGTAGATGCAAGACAGAGTTTTATTTGCTTTGTTGGCTGTGGCATCACATTGATGGCTCATGTTCACCTTGTGATCAGTCATAACATCCAAGTCTCTTTCAGTCATGGTGCTACTGAGTATAGCACTAACAAGCCTATAAGTATAACGTGGGATTTTTATCCCAAGATGGAGCACCTTGCATTTCTCCATGTTGAAAGCCATCAGGTTTTGATCCTCCCACCTAGTGAGCTTGTCTAGGTCAGCCCAAATTGCCAGCCTATCCTCTAGCGTGACCACACTTCCCCATAATTTGGTATTGTCTGTGAACTTGGCCAGTCTGCTTCTGACACCCAAATCCAGATCATTTATGAATATATTAAAGAGTACTGGTCTGAGCACTGAGCCCTGAGGGATGCCACTGGTCACCATGTTGACTTGGTTCCATCAACTATCACTCTCTGGGTCTAACCACAAAGCCAGTTCCCCAGCTATTGGACTGTAAGGTTGTTGAGGCTGCAGTTTGCCAATTTTACCAGGGGGACATCATGGAAGACCAAGTCACAGGCTTTTTTTAAATCTAAATACATGACATCAACCTCTTCTCCTTTGTCCAGGTGATGCGTCACCTGGTCACAGAAGGAAATGAGGCTGGTCAGGAAAGACCTACCCACAATGAAGCCATGTTGATCATCTCTCAGAATGTTGCCTTCCATTAGTCTGTTATTGATCATTTCTTTGATGATTATTTCCAATATCTTTCTAGGGATTGAGGTCAAACTGATTGGCCTGTAGTTCCCTGGATCTTCCTTCCTTGATGATAAGCACCACATTGGCCCTTTTCCAACCTTCAGGAACCTCTTCCAAGCACCACGAGTTCTCAAATATCTTCACCATTGGTCATGCTATGATGTCAGGCAACTCTTTTAGTACTCTTGGGTGTGTTCCATCTGGGCCAACTAACTTGTAGATGTCCAGCCTCTCAAGCTGTTCCCTCACAAGGTCTTTCCCAGTTATAGACATATAATCGCCCTTACCCTGGTGGTCCCGTCAGGCAGGGTGATCCCCCTGGGCTGGTAGAAAACCGACGCAAAGTAACTGTTGAGGAGATTAGCTTTTTCCTGGGTGTCAGTTGTCAGCTGCCCCATTTAGTTCAGAAAGGGTCCAATGTTGCTCTTGTTTTTTTCCCTGACTTCCCACATATTTGAAGAAGAACTTTTTATTGTCCTTGATTCCTGTAGCCAGTTTGAGTTTGGCAGCTTGACATTTTTAAAGAGGGGCACTATGTTGGCCCTTTTCTAGTCATCCGGTACCTTGCCCATCTCCCATGACTGTAAATATTATTGCCAAAGGCTCCAAGATAACTTCTGCCAGTTCACCTCATTACCCTAGGATGAAGTTTATCAGGCCCTGCTAAGTTGAATTCATTCAGACCCATCAAAAGCTTTCCGACACGTCTCTTGTGTTCTCTCATCCCTCAGGATGCCCCCTTCCTTACCCAAATCATCCTTATTAGCCGTTTGGTTGCAGCTTAATTAGCAATGGCAGATACTTGACTGGGATGGTTTATCCAGGGATGATCCTGCCTTCAGCAGAGGACTGGTGAGACCTCATGAAGTCCCTCTGAGACCTACTTTTCCATGATTATTTTCCCTTCCATACATTTTAAGGAGGTCACATCTACATGTTCATTAATGTGTTTTTGGTAATGTGCATTAAATTTATTGCCTCCATTGTGAGGTACTAGAAAAGGGCACATTGGCCTATTTTAATGCACATTTGCAAAAGCGCAGAGTTTTTGTGATGCTTTAATGTGCATTAAAAAAAGCTAATGCACATTGAAGCACACAGATGCACCCACAGAGAACTTTAAGGCTCCATCTTTAGAGACGTTTCGAGTCCTCCTGGCAGGATGACTTTGCATGGTATATGCAGATAAATTACTGCTTCATATAAAACTCCACTCTTCTGTTGCTCAGTTCGTAAATACTGGGACCACTTGTGGTTAGGTGATCAACATCAAAGTTGGAAGTGCCAGTCTTCATTGCCATTTTCACTACCCTATCCTTGGATGGGAGACCAGTACCGTGGGCTTCAATGTGATACCTGTCACTTCCTCTCAAATTACCTACATGGAATGCTAAGCCAGATGCAACTTGACCCATATCCTTGGAGTTGTGGGTCCTGGAGGAAAGAAGTCCAGCTACTGAATACTGCCCAGCATATGGTGGTCTCTATCAGTGAGGATACAAGTCTGTCACAGGAAGTGTAGGATTTGGACCTTGACTATTTAGAATCCAGTATAGCAAACCCCTCAATTCTACTATACACAAAGGTCTTTTTTTTTTTTTGGGGGGGGGGGGGGGAGGGGGGTGTGTGTTAGGATTAAGTTTCTTCACCAAATTATTAAACATGGAATAAGTATAAACCTCCAAAAATGTAGCAAGTCTGATACTTGCTGGGATCCAGCTCAATACCAAGGATAATAAGAAGGGAACTGAGGGAAGGTAACAGATGCTCCAATCTTTATGTCCTTGCAGGGTTGTACAGGGCACATGCATGACTCAGACACTACTATATAAAAGAATACAGCCTCAAGCAATGAAGTGCACACACTTCTACAGTGGGATCCCACACTGACACACTCGAAGAAAATTCTACATTTACATGCATCAAGCTGTAAAACGTATTCTGTGATGTTACATTATTTCACATGTACAATAATACAATCAAGACTAACACATTTACAGAAAAGGGAAGAATTAAGGCTTTGCACATAAAAATTCAGCCTTACCACAGTTCTGGTTGTTCACTGAATTATTAATGTAGTCCCATTAAAGTAGTTCTTCTATGGAATTTTCTTAATTTTAAAGAAGACATGATAAAGATGGAGCTTTATTCTCCAAAACTGAAATTCTCATGGCTTGTAGTAACATATAATTTAGAGCTATTTCAACACCACTTGTGATATGCTTCAGAAAGATAACTTGTCTTCTGCATCCTTTAGGAAATACTAAACTTGAGGAGTACTCTCTCGTGTGTACTTGTGCATACTTTTCATCGTTTTCAGATTTCTTTAACGATTCACAAGGTTTTATGAACTTACATCAATCACAGAAATCCTTACTTATCTTCACACTTTACACAAGGCCAATATGCAAGTTTATAGGTTTTCCAAATGCAATCAAATCAAAACAAATTTAATTCAAAACAAGTAAAAAGATTTCTCAATACTACTAACGTGTCAAACTTCAACTCAGCCATTTTTTTTTCAACAAATAGACAAAAACATTGCCAAGATGCTACATTATTGTACTGAAATTTCTACTCTTGCTTTCATTGGGGTCAAACCCTGCTGTTGGTATCAAGTTTTACTCAAAAATTCACCAATGGGAAACAACAAGGTAATTTTTTTAAGAGTTTCAGAAAGCTTTAAAGGTCAAATAATAAGTTAGAAGAAGAACAGTTAGGCAAGCTTTACTAAATCAGGTGCTCCTATTCCTGATGCAATATAAAATATGTGCAATACATGTTTTGAAAATACATTTATTAGGCAATTGTGGCTTGTTTCATGTGGTTACAAAGAAAAAAATTCAAAGAGTGCTTAGGACTGAATGTGCCATAATTAAAGGTGGTTATAATTACTATCTAAGTTTGTGTGTCCTAATTTACTATAAACCACTTTATAAGTATGAAACATCTCATTCTTTGGTTGTGTAATTATTCTATGTGTCTAAACTCAAAACAAAAATTCCAAACGAGCGTCTAAAGCTAGGCACGCAAGTTTGGGTTTTAAAAAAAAAAAATACATTTACTATAAAATATGGATATTACCAAAAATCTTAGGCATGAGTAGTGATGCCTTACATGCCATCCATATTTGGGTATGGTATGGAAAGGCCAGCAAAAACGCTCCTTGTTAAAATGTTTGAACAACAACACACTAGACTACTATCTTTTCAGTGCAATTCTCTTCCCGTTACTAGAAAGGATATGCAAAAGGAAGGTAACATATAAATTGGTAAAATCTCCACCAAATGGCTCTGTTAAACCACCCATGGCCTGTTAAACCAGCTACATACTTTGGCTGGATTGATTTTGCCCCTACAAAGCCTGAAGAAGTTTTAGCAATCTTGCTGTACTGAAGGGCAGAGGCTTATCAAAACACTGTTCTTAGCAAAAAGAATAATAAAGGAATTAATCTTGTGTCTGTGGGCATGAAAGTATTTACATGGTTTTGCAACACTAAGACAGCAGCATAACCCTGAACATAAAGGTATCAATCCAAATAAGTATAATAAAGCCAAAACCCACAAAACTTCTTTACACCTAGCTGGCTCAGCTCTCTTCAGTTACACAAGCCAATGAAGCAGAGTGAAGAAAGCTTGTTTTAAATGCCCAAAGCTCTAACGAAGCTAATTAAAATACTGTGCTAGAATGCAAATAAATTTTATATTCTAGATTGAATACACAAATATTCTGTGCGCTATATCAAAATGTGTTGTCTGACAGAACGATGTTATACTAGAAAAAGAGATACCTCCAATTTGCTCTTCTCAGCAGCAGCTTGCAGAGAAGGAGAGGATGCCAAAGGCTGAGCAGCATCAGAGGAGGACATCTGTACAAAGCAGATGAAAAAGGGATGGATGAGAAGGAAACCAAGGCAGATGATAAGAATTAACAGGCTATAGATAAAGCATAGAAATATTATGATTTAATCTTCTTCCAAGATGCAGTAATGCTTTAAAAAAAAAAAAAAAAAAAAACACTTAATATAGAGAAAACAAAGCAGAAGAGAAAGCATTTGCATTTTAGACTTATGAATTTGATTAATGCAATTTCCAAAAGAAGAGAGATTTGTCAGGTAACAGTGAATGATTTATGATGAAATTCACTAGAATATAAAATAAGAAAATGAATCCGGATAAGATCACATCACAGACATGAGAAAAATAATTAGGTTTCATCCATTGTTCAATTTTATCCAATGTGACTGTTGAAATATTAATGTCCTGAAGCACGAAGGCACACTGTCCCATGGGGAGGGGAGAGAAGAGAGTGCCTTTGTTCTTGTTCACTGTAACAGAATATTTATATTAAGAATGAAGCAAACTAACTCTGAAAGTTATACATTAATTAAAGTTCTAATGAACTGTTCTATATTGAAGAACATACTGAATGCTAGAAAATGATGTGTGTTAACACAAAGGCAGCATTTTAGCAGTAAACTGGAAGGCCTACTGCAAAGCAAGATAGACATACAATTTTCTAGACATCAGTATACAGCCAATATTAGCATCACTGTACTTCAGAATTATCCAAAAGGTATTTTGAAACAATTATATATGCATTAGATGCAATTTATACATGAAAATGGGATTCTCTAGACTCAGGTTTATACACTGTCCTACCCCATTTCTTTATGCATACTTGATCACTTCAATGGAAACATTATCTTTCTATTCCCTTTACTACAAAAATGCAACTAAAATATGTTTACAAAAGGCATAGTAGATCTTCTGAGCTATTAGACTGACATTGCTCAGCTGCCCTATAATCATTGTCACCACCAAAGGAAAAGGTAAACATAAGCGGAGCTGTAGCAGCACAGGTCATCATAGTATCAAAAAAAAAAAATTACTTAAAAAAATAAAAAAGTAGTAAGAATGTGTTGTTTAAGTAAGCCTGGGCACTGGCCTCTTAAAACATAACCAATATTTACATAAAATGTTCATGCCTTACATATTCTACATTTGTTATACCTGAATCAACTAGTAATACTGTAGTTAACATGAATATGTTAATTATAGATAACTGGTTTCAGTGCATAAAGTGTACTCTGGTCTGCAAGTTAGTTCCCAAGGTTCCAGGAAGGAAGAGATTCCTACCCCTCCGATACCCCTTTTTAAATAACGATAAGCAATTTCAAGAAGTTTTGCACTACATTTAACTTATATAATTAAAACTTGCATGCAAAATATCATTCAGTACTTTTCTGCTGTTATTTCATGGTTTTAGAAGCTATCCATTTTTACCATAAAGCTACCAAATAAAATCTTTCTGATATTGCATTATTTAATCTCATTTTTATGACACAATTGGTGTGGAAATAGTGATCTTACCATCAGTATTTTGACGTTACAACCTGAACTGCTAAGAAAAGAGGATCTTTCATAAACAGCTCTGTTTGAGCATTAAATGATCTGGTAATTAATCCTATTTATAATTCAGGCACTCATGTTTTCAGTCATGATGTTCCATCAGAATTTGCTATCATGATTAACGTCTTATTCCAGCTTTCCTTTTTTTGATTCCAAAGAATTATTAATGTGTACTCCTTTATATGTTAAGCCAAGAAATGATATGGACTAGGTTACAGAAGTAACTAAACCAGAAGCTTTAAGTTTGCAAACAATTCATTAAATGTATCAGAATAGTTATCAAAAAGCATAACAAGTTTAAGAGCCTAGAGGACTAGCGAGGCTAAAGCATACCAGTTTCTGTAGCCAAAGGCATATATGCCTTATATATAATGGTGATAGCATGACAGTCAACCACCACTGACTTCCCACTGTTCAAATTGCCAAGTACCCATTTACAGAAGGGTAATGACTTTTGCCATGAGTCCAGAGCAGGGATTCAAACTCTTACCTCTGGAGTTGTAGCAACACATCTTAACCACTCTGTCATCATGCCCCATATAACTGTAATAAACCATAGCAAAGGATAATAATTTTGGGAACGTGATAATCTATAATAAATTTTTGCAGCATCAGCAGTTCACACCTTTCAGAAGTCTGGTTCATTATTTGTATACCATCTATTAGAACTAAGATGCAATCTGTCGATACGCCAAGCTCCATAGCTATATAACTGATGTAATAAAAATTCTGAGCTGAAGTGGAGTCCCGTGCATTTGGAATATTAAAGGTATTTGAGGCCTTAACTATTAATTCATTTTTAAACTAATTTTAAGAACCTATTTTCAGGCTTGAGGAACACCAAGAGTTCCTCAAGTGGTCAGACACTTAAGATTATTTGGGAGGTTTTTTTCATCTTTATTAAAAACTCTCTCAGCTTTGAACCATTCTTGAGATTGTGTAGCTGATCAAAAGTTACTTGATGTTCACAACATATGAAGGAAATAGCTTCTATACTTTTACGTGCCTCTGCATTGCTCAAAGGTATCCCTTGGTTTTGACAACTGCAAGAAGTAGGCAGAGAGCTGAGCAGAATGAGCTAGCCTTGGCAAGTGGACACAGTCTACATGAGATGGCACGTAACTGGGACCAATATGCAGTACTTCCGTACACAACAGATTGGCCCACAACGATCTCTGGGTTGTCATGACTCTACTGCATCAAGTACCTAGACTGGCATGCTAAAGACAACTCTGTATACCTGTTGCACCATAGCCTGCAGTGTCGACAAGCTCTTGATTGTGGGGAAATATAAAAAAAAAAAAAAAAAAGTCCCTCCGCACTATTTCAGTAACTTAATGCATTTGAAAGCCAATACTATACCCCTATTTAAAACTGTATATACAGATTGTAGTTAAAAACGTAAGGTTTTTTAGTTTATGAAACGCATGAGTTTTGGAGACATCCCACTACAGTGAGAAGTTCTGTGTAATTTTTGGCATAATGAGTGACACTCGTTGTGTACAACTGACTCTGGCTCCATGCAACCTTATTTTTTTCATTCTGTCATGTCACATCTTGGACATCAGATGCTTTATTAGCTCTACTGAAGGAGGAAGAGAATGCTCAGTTTATTCTACCTTCCAGGTCACGTCAGCCACCTATGGCAGGGGCATGCATCTTTCAAGCCTAGAGGAAGGAAAACATTTAAATGTAGGTGCATGCATCTTTTTAGCCTAGAGGAAGGAAAACATTTAAATGTAGGAGCCATAAAATTGCCTTCATAGCACAAAACCCACCTGCATGTTAAATGTCTTTAGGGTAGTCCAAACCATCCACCCAATGTTACAATCTTGGCAACCTCCAGTCTCTGATTAACCTTCTAAGAAGTGTTATTAAGAAGGTTTAAATCCTTTGATAAACGTTTTAAAATGTATCTCTTCATCTAGGTTCTGAGATATATCAGCTCCTACTTATTGGAATTATTTCTGAACAAGTATACAAGGGAGATAAAGCAAAAGCACTTATTAGACTTCCACTAGAATGGAAGCATGACTTCTGCAAAAAATAAAGCAAAGACTTTAAACCTGGCAAGCCTCTTATTAAAAACATCGATCTTTATTATCAAGTGGTATCTAGATAATACATATAGTAAACAGTTCAACTTAAAGTTATTGAACTATGGATGAACCTGTCATAAGAAAACAGAACTTCAGTTGAAAAAAAATGTTTTAACCATCCAAATAGGAAATGAACCAAGCACCAGGGTGCCCTCAAGTGGCCATTTTATATATGCACAGTCAATTAACAGGAAACAGATTTGGAAAGGTACTTAAAATAGGAAAAATAAGAGTTCATAATGACAGAAAGTATAGTAAATAATTATATACTACATTTTTTTCGTTTGCTAAGTAATGCTTGGCTCAGACTTTTAAGATTTACATTAATAAACAAATGAAAAATTTGCACCCCTAAGATGTTTTGTTTTGTTTTTTTGAACAGTAGCAGCTAGAGATCCTAGTTAGGCCAATAGTGCACTTGTTTCTTTTTAATTGTAGAGATACAAGTTACTTATATAAACTTTTTTAAAATTAAAAATGTAGCTAGAGTGAAGATATTCAGTTTTTAGAGTAAAACTGTATGACTTATGGAAAAAAAGCCATTTTTGTGGTTTTTCAGTACTTTAGATTAAAATTAATTTTGCCTCCAAAATGCACTTCCCGCCCTAATTTTACGACAAAAATCATTCAACGATCTAGAAGATGAGAAACTTTTCCAAATTTGAATGCAAACCAAGTTGGGTGATCAACTAAAAGGCTAAAAAATATTTTACATAACTACCTGATAGATACCTGAAAGATATGGGATCTATAAGAATAATCACTATACAAAATTCTGAGGATATAAATCTGACCCAAAAAGGTTACAGTCAAAATGGACCCCACCTACAAGTGTCTGAAAGTCAGTAATTTATTTTACAACTATTTAACTCCCCTTTCAATGACATTCCAGCCAACATCAGAATCAAGTATGATATTTTGATTAAGGCACTGGATTACCATATTTTCTTGTATGCAACATGCCCCAAAATAATACCTGCATCTGGCTTTTGAAAGTCAGAATGAAGAAAAAGATTCTCTTGAAAATACTGATAAAAGTAGTAGCAGCTTCTGTAGCAGAAGCCTCTACCAGGACAAGAGAGAAAGTATCCACAGCTAGCAGCTCTGCAGCATTACTTTTGCTTTCTCCCAGCAGAAGCAGAAGCTGCTATCACCATATTTCCTCATTTATAATGTGGACCACAATTTCCAGCAGCTGAACTTTGGAAAAATGTGTTCTATGCATGAAAATATGGTAATATCTTAATGTTACTAAATTAAACTTTATATGACCATGGGCATAAACTGCTTAAATTTTTGTGTTTCACTTCCCCACTTACCTACATTTTTCTTAAAGTGTAGAGCTCAGAAGCTGGGCA